CTCTTCAAAGAATCAAATATCCACAGGAGCTACAGTTTCATCCCAAGCTTCATTGGAGCTTTAATGGAGTTTGCTCTAACTAGATCTTCACATACTTCAAAGAATCAAACATCCATGGAGCTAGGATTTCATCCTTGGTTGAAACCAAATTCCAACAGAGCTTTAATGGAGCTAAGGTTTCATCCAAACTTGAAACCAAGCTCCATTGGAGCTTTAATGGAGTTTTCTTTAACTCGATCTTCACATACTTTTACGTTCTCACACAAGGATGTTTCTCACATGAAAAATAGGAAGAAACAACAAGAGGAAGGCGTGTCAGTCTCAATGAGAGAGTTTCTCTCACTAAAAATCAATGAGGTGATGAGAGAGAAGAGAGGGAAAAAGAAAGTTGAAGGGCGTGCCTCTCTTATAAAATGTTTCTCTCACTAAAAACTATCAAAGAGGAAGAGAGAGAGCTAAAGGAATAGTGATGTGCCACATGGACCTATATGCTCCCTCTTTACATGTAAAAAGAAGAAAAAGAAGAAAATGACCTCCAAGTGTTCGATGTGAGGTCCCTCTCTCTCTCTCTTTCTCTTTCTCTCTCCATAGCCTCCAAGTGTTCGAGACCTCTCTCTCACAAATGCATATCCAAAAGAGAAAAAAGAAACAAAGAGGATGATTTTTAAGAATTTCATATGAGACCTCACGCATACACATACATGTGCATGCACAATACACACACTAAACACATACACATTTACAAAACACACACATAAAACAACATATGACCCCCACCACAACCCCCTCCCATTAAGGGGCCGCTCAGGTATCTAGGCGCCCAACTAGGCAGCCGCCTTTGCGTTTTTGAACATTGATCCTAGCCTTTCATCCTCCATCATGTCATCTTAATGTGTGAATGTGATTAAAGCACTGTTATACTCCATTTTACGATAATTCATTCCAAATTTCCTTTTTATAAAAATGCCAATGCTCAATTCACTTACTCAACTTAATAAACAAAGGGCTTACCCTTATGGAATTTGGCACCAGTGTTTTAAAATGCGGCCGCATCAGGCGCTATGCGCCACCCAGCGCATCGCACTTTCCCGCATATGCGGTTTGGAGAGATGCACCAGCATTATAGCCGCATCCCTCCACATCAGAGCCGCATCAAGCTGCATAATCTATCCGCCATTTTTTTCAAAATTGTACCCCTCGACCAAGGGCAATAAGGTCATTTTGACCTTTGAAAATGGGGGGAAGGGTTTGGGAGAGTATCAAACCACCTAAACAGCATTTTTCAGCCACATCCATGGCTTTAACTAGATCGATTGAATCAAAAAAAAATTTGAGTAATTGTTTAAGTTCTTCAATTTGTAATACAATATACTACAAACTAAATGTCCATAAAGATTAAAAGTTACAAATCGAAGAACTTTTCCCAGTACGTTTCAAATAAATTTTGTAACTTTAAAGAGTTTCATGGACTAATACAATAAAGTTACAAATTAATGAGTTTATAAATTTATTGATCTTCATAAATGCTCTGATATCGTAAAGTTACAACATTTTTATAGATTTATAAAATTGATAAAAGTTTACAAATCGAGTCGAAGAACTTCATGGACTTCACAAACTCTTTTCAAGATTAAAGAGTTCATAAAATTTGTAACTTTAAAGTTTTTTGTTGCAGATTTGTGCTTATGGTTGTTGATTGTTGAATGTTTTATAAAGCTAGTTTCAAGTTTCTAGTTTCTATCACGCGATAGTGGATACAAAATTTCCGACAACTAATACTTTTGGAGATAATGAATAATCTTAATACTTACTATCACATATATCACCTCCATATTTTTTTTTATGCATTAACCTTTTCTTATACTTTTTATAATGTTTTTATATTTATGAACCACATTGCCACAATGCACCCGCATCCGGACCGCATCAAGCCACATCACCACATCAGTCCCCCCAACGCTTTTTCTCGAATCCCGCATTTTAAAACACTGTTTGGGACATTTTACAGCAAACATTTGAAATTAAATTTCCCTCCAATTTTATAAACATGTTCAACCAATCACATGATATCACATGGGTGAGGTGGTTAAGTGCACAACTACACATGTCCTTAAGGATTCAATGGAAATATCAAATCCTATGCCCTTTCTAAAAGTACCTCAAATCCCACTCATAAAACAAGTAACAAAATCCAATTTATGAATTTTCAAACTTCCACCAATTAAATAATAAACAATTAAATGACAAATAGATCCCATGGGTGATGTCACCCCCACATCACCTCCATGACGTCAACTTCCCCATGAACCCACATGGACACCCATTGGCCATTTGGGTGTCATGTGTGGGTCCCTCAAGTATGTTATTAATTGTCATTTCTGAAGACAATTAAGGAAAATCCAATTTCTTGCTCAAAAAATTCCAAAAAATCTCCAAAAATTTACCAAAGCAATCTCCATCAAAATAACATGTTTTGGCATCATTTGAATAATATGTAAAAAGAAAATTAAGATCCTACAGAGTTGAATAAGGTATCGAAGTACTTCACTCCATTAGACCCAGAATCCAAAGTCACCTTTTCAATATTGACTTAACAAACCTATGACCCTCAGTGCTAATCAGGGGATCATGATTTGATTTATCAAAGTCAAACCCATAAATGGCTCGGGACTCTCAAGTTGTAGTGGATTACAGGTGTACCTCTCAGGACATGCACTCTTATGGATACGAGGGTTCCTCTCTAGACACATGTATATGTTTCTTCATAGTGGATCATTTGGAAGAGCACCTTTCCATTTGCGACTGTACATGCACATTCTATGAGAAGTTTAATGCTTTTACCATGTCATGAATTTAAGTTTATGTCCTCTCAAAGCCTTAACCTTCTCATACAGAGATAAATCACACAAAATACTCTAGCTATCCCATAGTCATGAGGCAAAATTCAATAACCGACCCTGACTAGAGTTAACTCATATATATATATATATATATTTAGGAAAAGTTTTTCCAATGCCTATAGGAGAAAATGTACAGTGATTTCGTCTATACTCATCACTGTCTAAATTTCATCGCACAGTCATGATTGTCTGATAGTGTTTCAATTTTCATTTTTTTTCTATAAATCGGAATGATCTGAATTTTGGAGCGTGTGTACATCTTAGTGAGGCGCACCTAATAAAAATATGAAAAAACTATTTCGTAAAATATTAATTGACCAAAATACCCCTGTAAATTTTCAAGGGTATTTTGGTCAATTTATATTTTACAAAAATTTTTTTATATATTTTTATTAGATTCTCCTATTTTTGATGAACACACGCTCTAAATTTCAAATCATTAAAATTTGTAGAAAAAAAATGAAAATTGAAATACTACCGAACAACTGTGACCGTGCGATGAACTTTGGATGGTGATGAGCATAGGCGAAATCACTGTTCATTTTGCCTATAAGCATTGTATAGTATTTTCCATATATATATATATATATATGGAAAAAGCTTCTGTGAGCCAATGGGCTCATAAGAAAAAATGAGCCCAATGGCTCAGATCGAATCTGGGCCAATCTAACGATCACGGATGCCCGATAGTGTTTGAATTTTAAATTTTTTTCTACAAATCCAAATCACTTGAAATTTTAGACATGTGTTGATAAAAAATAGGTGAATATTC